GCCTAAGTTTTCAAGAAATGTCAGTTTTAGGCTTACGATCAGGGTAAGATGATTCTACAGTCAAAACAAAAATTATTCAGACACCAGATATAATTTTTGATATTTTTTGTGGGTGCAAGACACTATAGTTAATTTATGTAAGTTAGGATAGCAAAATAAAGTGTGACATATTATACCCCAAAATTCTTCATCTAGTGGACTACCAATTAAATTGATAAAAATTTGGGACCAAAAATTACTTTGACCTCACCATGTTTTGCTTAAGTGTTATCTGACATTATCAAGATGAATTTGTTCTGACACAGTTTAACTCTGAGTTCTTGTCATATTTTATTACCATTTTCTAAACTATAGCAAATAAACTGTGATAATGTGTGAAATGTTGAAGGTGTCTGAATAAATTTTGGTTTGACTGTAGGGTTTGGTTTAGGGGTAGGGATTGGTTTAGGTATATTTTTGGACATTAATGTTGATCCAGGATCATGTCTTACTTGTCAAAATCACAGAAACTGAAAATCTCGTAACACCTAGAGAGTTACGCTGAACAGGAATTGGCCCAGTGCTTTACAGCCATAACAAAAAGTGTCAGAGTGAGCTGCAGGCCACACTTGGCCTGGATAATGTATGCCGATGCCGAGTCTGAGCTGCAGGCACCGTGGGGCAGCTGAGCTCGGGCCGATTACTAGCTACATGCTATCTGGGATATGTTATTCTTGATGCTTCTCTTCTGCACTGCATCATCCTGTATGGAATGACAAAAACGTAGGATATATTAAGTAAATTTTTTAGACAGTCAGTCCAAATCCAATTATTTGTGGATTCGATTGGAATCTGATTTAAATGATTGACTGTCTGCACTGTATATCGCAACTGTTCAGATCCGTTTTTTGTGTCCCGTGGGGCTCTTTCATTTTACTGAATTTCTGCATTGGTTTCTATGGCAACGACGTTGAGTTAGCATGCATGCCTGTGCTAAAAATTCAATTCAATTCAAGTTTATTTGTATAGCGCTTTTCACGATACAAATCATTGCAAAGCAGCTTCACAGAAAATTAAATTTCTACAATATATTTAGTAGTAGCTTGTCAGTGGTGACTATGTCAAATTGATGTACATATGGCAGAAATGTATGGTAAAATTCAGTTACTGACATAATCAAACGACGATGAACACTATTAACAGCAATGATTATATGTTGCAATCAAACTTGTAGCAAAATTTGGTAGTTTATGTTGTTTCAGGGTTGGCATCATCTGAGGTCCTCTGAGAGTTTTGCATCATCTCTTCTCAGGTGTTCGGTCATCTCAGGTCTTTGTAAGGGCTGGATCCAGACTGAAGCTTGTGTAATTCCTAATTACCATGGGATGTCAATCCCGTGGCAGAAACAGAGAAACAAATAGAGACATAGTTAGCATAGCTGCTGTTCCAACCAAGCAAAAATTATGTGTTCAACCCAAGCTAAGGAATAATAATCTGTATTTGATCAGATATAACTGCAGTACAAGATTATGAAATGCATTATTTGAATGCTTGGCCAAAGAGATGTGTCTTTAATCTAGATTTAAACAGAGAGAGTGTGTCTGAACCCCCGAACATTATCAGGAAGGCTATTCCAGAGTTTGGGAGCCAAATGCAAAAAAGCTCTACCTCCTTTAGTGGACTTTGCTATCCTAGGTACTACCAAAAGTCCAGAGTTTTGCGACCTTAGGGAGCGTGATGTATTGTAGCATGGTAGAAGACTAGTTAGGTACACAGGAGCTAAACCATTAAGGGCCTTGTAGGTAAGTAATAATATTTTGTAACTGATACGGAACTTAATAGGTAGCCAGTGCAGAGACTGTAAAATTGGGGTAATATGATCATATTTTCTTGACCTGGTAAGGACTCTAGCCACTGCATTTTGGACTACCTGTAGCTTGTTTATTGAAGATGCAGGACTACCAGCTAGCAGTGCATTACAGTAGTCCAGTGTAGAGGTGCATGAATGCATGAACTAGCTTTTCTGCATCAGAAACAGGTAATGTGTTTCGTAGCTTGGCAATGTTTCTAAGATGGAAGAATGCTGTTTTTGTAACATGGGAAATATGATTTTCAAAAGACAAGTTGCTGTCTAATATAACACCCATATTTTTGACTGTAGAGGAAGTAACTGTACATCCGTCTAGTTGCAAACTGTAATCAAAGAGATTCTGCGTACTGCTTTTTGGTCCAATAAGTAATATCTCTGTCTTATCCGAATTCAATAGGAGAAAATTATTGGTCATCCAATCTTTTACATTTTTAATACTCTGTTAACTTAGATAATTTAGAAGTTTCATCTGGTCTTGTTGAGATATAAAGTTGAGTTATGGATATTCTCAGCTTCTGTGAATATTATCCAAACGTTCTATTTTGGTAATTCTAAAACTGTGAAAATGTCCAGTTTGCATAATGTTAGTGGAACATTATTTTAAGGTTAGTATAATATTTCTGTAACATTTTTTCAATGTAATTTCAAACAACACAACATTATCAAAATATTTGGAACATTCTAAGAACATAAAAATGTCTGGTTTAATCATTTTAATAGAACATTATTTTAACGTTAGCATAATGTTCCTGAAATGCTCTTTTAATGCATTCCTTTCAGCAGTTATAACGGCTTATTATTACAAATATTATCATTAGCATTGTAGCAAATAAAATAGAGAGCGTTCATGGCAAATCCAGGTTAAATCTTCAGGCTAATATGTACACTCTGTTTTGACATAAATGTGGTATCTTGAAACGGTTTTAAGGCATTTCAGTGACCTTTCAAGATACTTATTTTAAGGGCACTAAAGTGGAAGCACCAAGTGTCTGTCTATCTCATTCACAATTGAACAGATCAAGCACACCAAGCAAAGGTCATTTACTTCAAAGAGAATCCATCAATGGTTTTATTTCCCTTTTCTTATTTTTTCAGTTCAGCGAATCAATGAGTATGTCATGATCTATAGTGTTGAACGCAGCACTAAGATTGAGATTGAGATGAAGCCTTGGTCAAAAACAATGGTAATACAATTTGCAATGCAGATGTTGTACAACATGATGGCATGAAAAGTAGGAAGCTGATTATTTTCTGCAGTTGTTTTTATTTTTTAATTAATTTTTATTATTTATTTATTTTGTGAGACATTTCAATTAATTTTGAAGTCACATGCTTTTTGAAGGTCTTCAAGTGCTTTATAAGTAGTCACATGCTTCTTTTGTCTGTCCTTTTCACCCTCTAAATTCAGTATTGCTTGGACTAAGCCATTTAAAATAGAAGCTCACATTGCCTGGACTGAAAATATATATTTTATATGTGTTCCTTTGTGTGTTCTTTTATGTAAGCCTGTAGCCTATATATATTATGATCAAATAAATATATGAAACTTTATCAAAAAAATATATGAGATCCAAAAAGACTTGATTCAATTTGAGCTCTGCTTGTATGTCCAGATCAAACAGAGTCCACTGAGACAGCATAAAGAAAAGGAGAGAAAGGAAAGTCTTTGGTGAGGTGTGAATTCCCACCTTGAATCATTAATGACGGATTTAAGGATTGTCAATATTGTTTTAAATAAGGATTGTCAATCTGTGTGTGTTGGTTCAAGAGAGCAACCATAACGATTAGTAATTCATTTAATCATTTAATTATTTATAATAATCGTTTTAACCATACTCATTTCATTGACTCATTCATTGATTAGTAATTTATATTATTATATTATTTTTCCATTGTTGTTTAATCTTATGATTGTGTGGTTTCAATATTTGAGTTTACAAGTGAGAGATAAGAGAATGTCTCCATTTCAAAGTTTTTAACATCACAGGACGATGCTGTGAAGCTGTAATTTTCCTTTGATTGTGGTATAATAACTATTGTTGGATTTGTGCTGGTCTGACGAAGATTGAGCAACTATGATTGTGACTACGATTATTCAATAAACTCTAAAACTTTTTTATTATCATCATCACTTCATCTCCTGCTTCTGCTCTTCACTGGCTCGGTCAACTTCTTGGCTGATAGAACACTGTTAATACAGTTTTGGGTACCAGACAAGACGGGTTTTGAGTATTAGACAACTTTGCTGACTATAGATGTTTGGATATGGGACAAATTGGATCTTTTCTGACAGGATCTGGCGTCCCGGGCTGGATATATTATATTTCTGGAAACATTGTTATTTTTCAGTGCAGTATGGATATTCTCAGCTTCTGTGAACATTATCCAAACGTTCTATTTTGGTAATTCTAAAACTGTGAAAATGTGCAGTTTGCATAATGTTAGTGGAACATTATTTTAAGGTTAGTATAATATTTCTGTAACATTTTTTCAATGTAATTTCAAACAACACAACATTATCAAAATATTTGGAACATTCTAAGAACATAAAAATGTCTGGTTTAATCATTTTAATAGAACAAGATGTTCAGAAGAGATTGTCATGTGAAAAATGCAAAAGGGAGAAAAGGAAATTAGGCAAAAGAGCAGATGAGGTAGATGATTTGAGCTAAACGCGAACATCAGTGTCATACTGCTTGAATGTCACACTTAAAATGTTAAAAAAGTACTTGTTTAAAAATAATATGGAACAGATTCTTGCAAATATATACATGTATACTACCATTCAAATGATTGGGGTCAGTAAGCTTGTTTGTTTGTTTATTTATTTATACATACATTTATTTATTTATTTATTTATATTTGCATTTAGCAAGGATGCCTTAAATTGATTAAAAGTTAAATGTATAATGTTACAAAAGATTACTATTTCAAATAAATGCTGTTCTTTTTTTTCTTCTTAGATGAATTTCTAATTTCATTGCTGGATATGACAGGGCATAGAAAATGATTATGGGTCAAATCTATTCTATCTGCTAGGAACAAGCTCTATTATTAATTTAAGAGGTGGTGGTAACCTCATGGTTAGAGGTAATTGTTGACTAATAGAGTGTTACGAATATCACATTCTTGCTCTGTCACTATTTATACCCTAGGCAAAGCACTTTTTACTGCAGATTTTCACTGCAAATTTTCTTGAAATAACTAAAAATGCATATACCACGACCATTTTAAACAATGGGATTAGATACATGCCAGTAGAAAAATGGGATGTAAGACTTACCCTCGACTTGGGACGAGGAGAGGACACCTTCAAGGAAACAAATAGAAACTTTTAGTCAAGGAACATTTTAAGCATTCAAAAGGCACAGGCACAGCTTTTAATTTAGAGGCCTGACTATTATAAAGAGACGTTGCGTTATCCAGTGTGATGCATACAAGATAAGTAATCCTTGAACAAAGACTTTTCATTTTAAAGATGGGGTCGATCATTAGGCTTCCTTGCAGTTCAGATGATTAATGACGGCAGAGACTGTATCTTTTTAATGAACAAGCCCACGGACCTGAGGAACAACTGTGCAATTAGTGCTGACCAGAATAGCATTTTTAATTTAGGACTTGAGTAATGCGGAAATGTTAACACTCATATCTAGTTTCCAAAGAACTGATTTTGTGTTTTCAGGGGAATATTCAAGAAAATGAGCAATGAGATATGCTGGTTTGAAGTCAAATCATGTCATCTGATAGTGGAATTTAATATTTACATATCACATCTTACATCACGAAAAAGAAAAAGGTGATGTTAAAGCAGAATGATCATTTCAAATAAAATGCTAAACATGCTCTGTCCGGTAAGTTTTATATTCTCATCTGTTCATCTGAAACAAGAGAAACTAACACTAGTGATGTAAGTGTGTGTAATGTTTTCTGTCTCACACAAAAACAAGTCTGGATATTGTAGCAAAGAAAACACGGGCTGCATGTTGAACATGACGACAAACTTGGCGTGCGAACTTAGACATCAAATGGCCAGACACAATGTGGCATGTCTAGGACGAAATCTTGTCTTTGGCATATTGAATTTTGGTTAAAAAGGCATGCTTTTCAATAGTCTTCATCAAATATATATGCTCTTCTAATATATTTGCGCCAGTTGAGGTAATGTTTTCCTGCTGCTCAGTGCTTTGAGAGTGGTGGCAAACTCTTTGGATCAGTGGGAGCTAAAGATGAGAGCAAGGGAGGTGTGAAACTTTCATTCTCATGTCTTGTGAGGAACTGATTTCTTTTCTAGGGCTGCAATTGTTGGTTTCACATCACTCTTTGAAGTTTGGCACTTAAAAATCCATGTCAGCACATGTGGATACTTACAAAGCTCCTGAAGAAATGCACCACAGGGTTGACATCTCCACGACGACGGGTGGAAGAGTGCTGGGGTCTCTGTGGAGAGGAGGATAGATGACCACGAAATGAGCCCTTCAAATAAATGAAAGAGTAATCTAAATTTACATTTGCACTCAAATTGACATGCTCTGAACATCAAAATGAGAATGCAACGAAGAGGTATGAGTGTCAATAGTATAAAGCTCTACCTAGAGGCAGTAATGAATCGCACTTTACCAGCAGAACAGCAAACCTCTATAATGATATCACTGGCACTTCAAACAGCTGTGCCCAAAGCTTCTTAATGCTGTGAGAATTCAGTTGTTTTCACATTTGAGCCATTTTGCCATCACTGATTGCTGCTGAAGCCAAATAAATAAATAAATAAACACCCATAACCAGATTTGAACCAGATCCAGCTATTTGTTCAACATCAGCAGGATTTAAGACCCAGTTCTTCAATTGCTTCATGAAATTAAACTTGGGGAATCATCCTCTTATCTGGTAAAATGACTGGAAAAGTTGTACCAAAAAAAAAAAAAAATCATGTAATATTAATACTCAATATATTTCAATGAATTTCACTGATATGCACATTAACTTTAAATTTAGCTTAAAAATAGTACATTATTCATAAATATAAATTGTATTTGGTGTAAATAAACAGAACCTCAAATACTAGGACTTAAATTATGAGCGATACTCACGTACAATACTATGGCAAACTGCATTCACATTGCAGAATACTATCATGCATATCAACCAATATGCAAAACAGAGCATAACATTGTTTTTTGCAGATGTAAAATGAGACTCTATAATCAGAATATAGTCAAACTATTTGCAGTGCAGAGTTATTTGAATTTGAGTATTTCTCCTAAGTACTTGTTTATCTGTAAACCACATCCAATCCAATGTGACACAAATGCAATCACCTAAACTATATTCACATTGTGTATATTCAAATATATGTAATTGAGAAGTTGTCGTTGACCATGACAATGTTTGGAAAACAAGTAAAAAAAAAAATTAAAAAAAAAAACTGACTCACCTTTCCCTTTCTCTTTTTGTCTCCTCCAAAGAACCTGCCAATCTGATCCAGGAGACCAGGGGCCCTCTTCTTCCTGCCCAGCCCAAAGGGACTTTGTCCAGAGGTGCTTGCAGTGGCCATTCTAGGTGTTGATCTGTTTGGTGGTCTACAGTCTGGACGGCCCACAAATGTCCTTCTCCACTCAATCCAAAGTCTGCTCTGGGGACACTCTGCAAACCTTCTCGATAGTCTTCGGCGCTTCTAAGGAAGAAGGGCTGGCCTTTGAAGGTGTCGTCCCCTCCGTTGCACGGCATTACGGGAGATGAGGTGGGTCTCTAATAGCGTCAGTGATTCTGGGCCGGTGCCAGACATTCTTTCGAGCCCTTGTGTGCCTGCGGAGGGTGTCACTACCCTGCTCTCTGATAAAAGGAGCTGCTATTGTTCTAGTCCACATCTGCCTCAACTTGGGCCGAGCACAACAAGGCCTGTCTATCAGAAAGAACTAGAGCGCAGTGAAGAACAGCTTCAGCACAATCACACCATTGTAAGGTGACTCATGTTCATTATATAAATACTTTACATTGAGAAATTACATATGGTATATTGCACCGTATAGGATTTGGAATTGTTAGCTTCAGACAAATGTTGCCATGTGGTTTATCATACTGTATCAATGAAACGTCCCCAGAAGTTTAAACAACACAGACACACCCTGATGATGTCATGCTACAGTTGAAACACGCCTTCTATTATTTCATGAATACATTTTATTTCAAAATGCTGTGAACTAGTTCTTGGACTGATTTCTTGAAGTAAGTGTTGCAATTTGTGTCCTGGATAAATGGTGCAATCTGCTCTGTTCCCTTCCCATCTTGAAATATCCACAAATGAATTCATTTTCAATGACTCTGCAATTCATTAACCAACCACTGTTTGTGATACTCAGCATGGTGCCCACTGTGCTTTTCAGAGAAACATGATGAACACATGGAAAAATCTATCTCTGTTGAGGGTAAAGTGCTGCTAAAAATGCATTTTTTTCTGCTTTTTTCAAACAATTGACAGTTGTTTGTGTGGTTTGGCCAAAGAACAAAGGCTACAGTGTTTTGTTGTCAAATATGTTGCTTTTATTATGTATTCATTCATTTTTTGAAATGTATTCTCTTTTTGTTTTTGTTGTACTATCTGTTCCCAAAAACATCAACATTTCTGATCATATGAATGAAGGCTTTTCCTTCACTATATGATCACCCAGATGTGAGGCTGCAATTTCCTTTGTCCTCAAGATGTTTTCCACAAGGTCATTAGTAGAGGAAATTCATTCCTGTAGAGATACAGCAATACTACTGAGCAAATAGGCATAAGCTAAAATAATTAGGCATATAACAAACAGCTCAGGGGAGAAAAAAAAACAAAAAACGGTGCAGCAGAAATGAGTTCGTAAACACATCCAGTCGATTTCATATACAATCAAATCTAGACCTGCAGTAATTTAAAAAATATGTTATATGATTCCAAATGGAAATCTGAAACTATAGAGGTTTTGAACGAATCACATGTATTTGAAATAAAATGTTAAAACACTTTTACTCTTTATGACTTTTATTTCTAAAATGCAGCTTAAAGATGATTTAATTGCTAATTTCTTCCTCAGTGCTCAAATATATTTTAAAATCTATGAAATAGATAATGAATAATTTCCCAAATATTTCCCTATTATATTACTAGTATATTTTGAGTAATAATTAATCTATATAAATGCGCTACCAATGTCCAATAATGCACATCTTCCATTGCATAGTCATTGCAGAGCATTACAACAACACACGTTCTTCACAAGTCTTTGCCTATGCGCATATTCAACTAGGTAAGGCTGGCCTCTCGGTCAAGATTTATAGCAAATCCTGAGTCTCTATAAATGGAGCTAGAAGCTTGTGTTTCTTCACTCTGACCAGTTCACAGAAGCTCATCTGTTGGCTGAAGGGCTGGCTATCTACAAACCTCCCACTGCTCTTTAAGAGATCAGTGCAGGAATGCAGGGAGTGGGCAGGTTGCACTGCAAGTGCCCTTGTGTTGAAGACAAGAGGCTTTTTTGCCCTGAAAGGGGTGAAAGACACATAGGGGCAAACAATACAATTCTTGATGTGTTCTTGTGGGACACAAACATTGGGGGGGGGGAACAAAACAACGAGAAGTATGCGGATTGTGACCAAGACACCCACAGACCAGCTATGGCCCGACCACCACTTCCATTTGCTACGGAGAGATCACAGTGAAAATGTCTGTAAAATAATTCTGTGTGTAGCTTAAATAGCTATTTATTTAAGTCATTAAATTATCTCCGATTGGAAATACAAGAAGACAAGATTGATCATCACAGATGGTAACCAATGTCACAAATCCATGAGATCTAAATGCCAAACAAGAGACCTCCGGATGACAGAGCAGGACATATCGGCTGCCTGGACAGCATGTTTAGTACATGTGTAAATCATTTTAGGCTATACAGATTTTTATTTTTTTTTACACACTTTCATTATGTGTATCTAACATGATATATTGAATGAAATATAGTGAAATTGAAAAGTATAATTAGTCCCCCCCCCATACAAACTATATTTTCAGCATAACAATTTTTAAACAGCTTGTGCTTCGGTGGAAGACCTTATGTACAAAGAGGCTCATGTGGTCTAATGAATGTCACTAATGAACATTTAAATAAAATAAATCGTAAAATTATTAATTTCATGTTGTAATATTTAAATCCCATAAGGATCCCATACCCCACCGGATAATGTGCATCAACATCCTATTAACCATACATAGTTCATGAAGAAAAATGGGACTCCATTAAATTTTAAACATCTCTGTACTCTGTTGTAAAGTGAACATTTCTGTGAGCTTCTGTCCTTGCATAGCAGTGCCAAGTGTGAGGGCATGATATTGTTGTGACATAAAACAAATGGTAGCATTATGCTTATGTCCAGCATTGAGAGAGGATGCCAAGAGTTGATGGAATCATTGGCAGCCCATCACTAAGGCATTAGCATCGCCGTGTTTACCCGCCAGAAGGAACAATTAGGACAGGCCTCCAGGACACTGAGATCAGATATACCAAGGACAAAGTGCATAGAGCAGTGCTTAATGCATATTATTAAATCTTATCAAAAAATGTTTATTGAAACTTTGCACATTAGCACACAACACCACCAAAGAATTTACATTTAAGAAAATGATTTGTTTAATTAAAAATTAATCTTTTAGGGGAACTTGTTTGAGTAATTAATCAAATATATTTCCAAGAAAACCCTGCAATCTCTCATTAAAGCCGGTAAGCAATCACAATAACTATTCTTCACGGCTCCAATGACCCGAGCACAGAGATACAGGAGGGAGGCAGCTGCGGTTACCAGCGGACATGTGTGACCTTCCGGTGGCCACATTGATGAAGGATCTTGGATCCCTTGGTATAAAACAAGGACACATGACTGGCAGGCAGTGCAACATATGGCTAAACATAAGTGTTTGTCTATGAGACGTGTACAGAACATAGAGGGTTGTGTTACAGAATCACAGCTTTACTGGTGGAGCGCTGTTCCTGAGTGCTGCCACAGACCGAACGCACAATGGAGTCTTTGTAGCGTAATTCAAGCTGATTTGTTTTTCACAGTTGTTATTCTTTGGCTCAGAAACCCTTGATTTTTAGTTCATCTGTATGCACATCACTCCTTATTGTCCCTTTAACTGTTTTTGGTTAGACATGGCAGAAGATACATACACATTGGCCAAACACATATCCACTGCCACTAAAAGCAGTCATCACACTTTTACAGTGCATAATCTCATTCTTTACACAAAAGGGTTGGTTCTACACGGAATGTGTACAAAACCTATGGATGCATGTTTCTTATTAAGCATAAAAAATAAAAAGCGAATTGCAAAATAAGGTTTACGATATTGTTATGAATATAAAGTTGCAGTTGACAGAAAAATGGTCACAACTGTGACCAGATATAACCACGCAAAACCAAACTGAACAATTAAAGGCCCGTTCACACCAAGGATGATAACTATAAAGAGAACTATATTAGCCTCCACACCAAACGCACAAAAACTTTGTTAATTAAAAGTGAGCACTGCAGTTCTGTCGTCTGCCACTTTAAATAGGCTACAGGATTTGGTTGTCATTGGCTTGCAAAAAAATAGTTCTGAAAGCTATTTCTACGTTATCCTTCCAATATGTCATTACCGTTATAGCTATATGCACGATTACTTCCTGGTTTTAGATAAGCCAGCTCGGTAATTTCCGGTCAACTGTCAAAATCAACTGTGCTACAAGTCGAGCGCCATTTGCTCGGTTTCTCTACATAATCATGCACAATATGAAGAAAAGTATTGTTTGTCTAACCAAATGTCCACATACTGTTTCAGGAATGACAGACGCGAGTGTAAAAAATTACACGAGTGAATCCACTAAATTGTTCTGAAAGTCATTGCTATGATTGATAGTAATAACTGTAGGACAAAACATCTGACAGGCTGATGTCAAAAATAGACCTGTGCATTAAGTGATTCAGAGTAAATAAATTGCTACAATAGTTTAATGCACTATTATATAATTATTCTAACATTAATAATTAACTTATTTGATCTGTAGTTAACTAGTTAAGTATTTAAATAATTAACATTTCTAGGCTGTTGGTGTCTGGGCTTATTTATTTATTTATTACATGACATGACACATTGTGACTTCCTGCACTTGCTATACTTTATACTTCAGTAAAAGTACTAAAAATGTGTTACAATAGTTGTTTTATAATAAACCCCAAAGGGAGACATGACAAAATCTTGGGAGTTTAAATGGTTATTGATCTAATGAGCGATCCTCTGCTCTCATCTACTGGTTATAATGGTAATTTCATGTAATTTTCATCTTAAAAGTCTTTGTTTTCCGCCCGGAAACACATTTTTTGGCACTTTTTTTTCATGTCATCTTCATGAATGAAAAGTGAATCTTAAAAGGGAATTTTACTGCACAGCTGTAACTAATCTCACTCCAGCCAGGCAACCAAAGTTGGCAACCCTGTGTATATCCAGTTATATTCATGAATATGAAGGCAAGTTATCGATTATCAAGAATATCATTATGATGTCATTTATTATTAGATAGCATGCTAGCTAGCTAATATTAGTTTAAACAGTTACGATAGTGTTTAGTTGTCAGCATTTAAATGTACAATCACGTGTCTAGGTACTCTCCTGGGATTACTGGGA